TATCAGTGAAGATGGTGAGCTTTCCATCTTTGAAAGTTTACAAGATGCAGGAGAGCCATCTCTTCAGACCTTAGGATAGGGCAGTGATGGTGAATCTTTTAGAGACTGAGTGCCCAAACTACAATCCAAAATCCACTTATGCATCATTGAGTGCTGGGTGGGTGTGGCCCATTGGCTGGGTGTGGCCAATTGGGTGGGCGTGGCTGCAGTGGTAACGGTAGACTGGGTGGGACTAAAAAGTTCAATCAATTCCAACTTTGCAAGATCTTTTTTTTTCCTGCGAGAAGTTGAAATTGACTGACTGAACCTTTTTTTTTTTTTTTGCACATGGCAGCGGAGGCCTAAAGCGAAAAGGTTTTAAAAAACCCAGCTGAAGGCCTAGGACTGGGGCGACAGCACGCGTGCCCACAGAGAGGGCTCTGAGTGCCACCTCTGGCACCTGTGGCATAGGTTCACCACCACTGGGATAGGGTGCTTGCAGAGTCCCGTAGAAGATATGTTAGAAGAGGTCGATTTGTCCAAACACACAGGATTTTCTTTGCAATTTTTTACTGTTTTCTTTATTACAATTTGAGGTAAGTCATTCAGAATCATTTTGGAGTTGAATGACCTCTAAATCTCCAAACATAAGTAACTGGTTTTCTTGGAGAAGATTGAATTAGATGATGTTTGGGTCCCTTCCAATTCTACAACTGACTTGATAACACTATTCTTCCTAGACATCTTGACCAACAGTATAGAGTCACTCTTCCCTGCCTACTTTTCACTGAAAATCCCTTCCACTCTAATTCAGCTGTCTGAAATGTCAGGTCCATGACATTCAAAGTTGGGGATGATTTCCTTTGTTTCATGAGATAAAATTTGTCCTGAATTTGGATGGCTAGCTTTAAAAAAAACTGCTCAAACTCTCCAGAAAGAAAACACGACTCTTTCTCCAAATCTAGGGGACAGATCTTGCTATGCTAGAATAGCAGGTCTCTATGGTGAAATAAAATTCTCAACCCCAAATTCCAGTATTGGCTATACACATGCCCAATTCTCTGACATCCCTAGTCATTCCAAGAGAGCCTGGTGACAATTTGAAAGATATAATACATTTATTATGACAGAACACCTTTGTAAACTAGAATCTGTTCATCAACAAATCACAAGTGAACTCTAGGCCATGCAAACCCATGCTAGAATAAATGCATTTGTTGTTGCCTGAACAGTTGACTTTGCAAGAGTAAAAAAAAATGTGTAACTTCTCTAGAAATTGCTACCGGTGAAGAGTATTTTTGTCTCTTATATGTATGTATGTATGTATGTATGTATGTATAAGTGTGGTTATGTGTGGGGCTGCATGTATAAAAGCAATTTTTAAATCTAATTTTTTTAATCATATGGTAATTGCTTTATTTATAATTCAACCTTGATTCAACAGACCATATTGAGGGAAAGTGTGTCCATTAAATTTGAACGTCCATTAAAATCCAAATGCATGTAATTGACATAAATGGTATAATTTGCTTACATCATCATCATCATCATCATCATTATTATTATTATTATTTAAAATACAATTACATAATTACACAAATGATGTGAAATGACATAAATAATGTGGGAATTATGTCAGTTGCCTGAAAAGATTTTGGAACAATACACTTGTTTGTTGTGTTGGGTACATTTGCATCAATTTGTTACCAAGTGAAGACCTTTTAAAAGGGACATGATAGCTCAGCAGTTAAAGCTGGAAAGCTGACAGCCCAAGTTCAAGACCCAACAGCTGCGCAACGGGGTGAGCTCCCATTCCTTGACCCAAATCCTGCCCACCTAGCAGTTTGAAAGCATATAAATGTGAGTAGATTAATAGGTTCCATTTTGTGGGAAACTAACAGTGTTCCCTGCATCTGTGGTGTATAGCTATGCTGGCTACATGACCAGAGAAAAATGTCTTCAGGTAACACTGGCTTCCTCAGCCAGAAAACGGAGATGAACACCATGTCTTAGAGCAGCGGTTCTCAACCTGTAGGTTGCGACCCCATTTGGGGTCGAACGACCATTTCACAGGGGTCACCAAACAATGCAGTCCACCATTTTTTCCCTTTTTCTTTAGCTGTGCTACTCCCTTTTATTCTATTGGCTTTTGAAAGCCAATAGAATAGACTCTCTTGAATAGAGTCTAATTCTATTGGCTTTCAAAAGCCAATAGGAATTGTTTAGGCTGTCTCTGCCCTGCTGAGCCCACCAAAAGTCCCATTCTGCAAACGGTGCTACAAGTTGTCTGCAGTGAAGGCAAGCTGTCTGGAAGTTTCCACCCCTCCCTGCTGAGCAACTACTAAAAATGTAAGTAAAAGAGGGCTGGGGTGGGAGGCCGGCGGGCACAGGGAGGGTTGTTGGCGTACGTGGGGCCCGGTGGGTGCCTTACCTCCCTTGGGCTGGGCCAGCTAGTGGCCCAGCCAGTGGTCGGCCTGCTCCATCTCTGCCGCTTGCCAGCTCTGCCTCGGCCGGCGCAGGGGGCGGCACCACGCATGCGCGGCGCTCCCAGGCAGGGAAAGTCCTCGACTTATGACCGGTTGGGTAGTCCTCGACTTACAACCGGTTGGGTAGTCGACTTATGACCGGTTGGGGGTTGCAGCATTAAAAAGGTTGAGAATCACTGTCCTAGAGTCAGACATGACTGGACAGGGAAACCTTTTACCTTTTGAAGAACTTTTTATATTAAGTTGCTATATTTAATTGCTATAACTGCCATGCTTCTGCCTAATTCATTTCATACATTTTGTATTTTATTTAATATCTTTTTTATTCAGATTGTATTTTTAGTCTGTTTTATTGTAAACTGCCCAGAGAGTTTTGTCTATTTGGTGGTTTAAAAAATAAATTTTAATAAACAGTTAATATGAAGTCCAAACACAAATTTACCCTTTGCACCCAAGTCTGTTAAATTGGCATCCATTAATGTTTCATAGTACTGCCTTTACTTCTCTCCTCCTTACAAGAAGTTTTCATTGTTGTGCTCTACTCCTGTTTCATTTATTTATTTTTATTTACAAGATTTAGAGGCTGCCCAAGTCTAAAACGCCTCTGGGTAGCTTCCATTAAAAATTCAAATAACACTTTGAGGTAACTTATTCTGAATGATTGGCTGACAGTTATCCAGTAGGCTTCATGGCTGAACTGTCACTGGATCTCTGGATTCTTAGATTTTACCTTCATGCTGAAATTATTCCATCACACTTCCTCTAAGGTCTTACTGTGCCTGTTCTAAAATGAGAAAGTCACATGTTTGTCCTTCTAATTCTATAGCACTTACAGAATTGATTCACACTTGCAAAATGTCAGTTTTCTGTGTTATCTGGAAGCGCATTAACGCTTGGGTTGGTTGAATGTGATAAAATTGATTTTTTGACTATCTAAATCATAGAAGAAGATGCTTCTTCTTATAGAAGAAGATGGTTAAAGATGTTTTGCATCGAACTGGAAAGTCACAGATGTGGCTAAATTATAGCTGGCTTGACTATGTTATTATTACATTGTAATTTTGTTCTAAACCCTGGTAGAACTGTCCTCCCACAATGAGGTGGAGGAGTGGATTATTTATTTTAGAAGATTGATATATGTATGAGTCCCTGGCCCATGTGACTTTCTTATTAAATAATAGAGATGAAGAAATACAGCTTTACATCCTCTGTTTTGCTTTTCCAGGCAATATGTGTGATTATACACATACATAGAAATCTTTCCTTAGAAGTTTTTTTTTTCATTCAAATCTCAGAGTTGTCAAGGATTACATGGTTTTCCCTACTTTGATCAATATAGAGCTCAGAAGGGTTCTGAGCATCTTGACAGCTACAGCTTTTCAGCTGTAAGAACTGGATGTGCTGAAGAAAAGAGTGAAATGCCCAAAATCTGTCATTTCAGCAGGTCAAGCATGGATGCCTAAACACAATCAATCCTGGTTCACAACTGCATAGTAAAACTTTTTTGCAGTGGACAGCAGTGACAAAAATCATAACCTAAAGAATGACTAGATTTTGGCAACGTATCATTTGAAATTCTTGAATTCCTTTCTTTCTTGCCAGCTGTCCTCATATGGGTCGGAGAGTTTAGTGACATCCAGTTACTGAATAAAAATGAATCAAAATACTTTGAAATCTTAATTCTAGTTTCTTTTTGGGGTTGAAGAAAAAAGTGAGAAAATCCTACCACATGCTGGGCTTATTACCGAGTGGCACACATACAAGACATATTGATATATTTTTGGGATTAAGAACTATCAATTTTTCGGACAAGTAGATCTTAACATTAGAGATTATTGGAACATTCTAACTTGCTGTTCTAGTCCAGTCATTAATACTTGGTCCAGGGTTCTTCCCTTCCCATCTTTCCCCTTTATCAGAGGAGGACTGGTAGCGTGGACTGGAATGAAAAGGAGTCAAGATGCATCTGGTCCAAGAGGATGGCTTTTGTCTTGCATTTCAGAGAAAATGGGAAAGCATATAGCTTACGAAGTTCTTACATAGTGATCCCAGCTTTTCACAGTATCTATGCTACTAGATTAACCTTCCCTATCTTTTATGCCCTTCAAATGTGTAAGATGTTGTCATACTACTCGGCCAGCATAATCTTTGCTCATCTTAGCTGGGGATTTTGGGAAATGACATCTGGATAAAAAAGGCTCTTCTAGAAACACTTTTATTTAAATCAGCATATCTCAACTTTGGCAACTTTTAAGATGTGTAGACTTCAACTCCCAGTATTCCCCACCCAGAATTCTGAAAGTTGAAGTTCATACATCTTAAAATTGCCAAGATTGAGAAATACCAATTTAAAATATGGAGACCGTTTCCTGAAACGCTTGTTCCTCCAGAAGGTTTAAATGCTTTGCTGGATTCGGGCCAAAGAATTAGCGGAACTCCTTTCCGGATCAGAGTCACCAAAGAGGTGAACAAATCAGCGCTGCATGATACTGTACACCCACATCGTTTTAATGCAGATATTTGGGGATGGAGGACGGATCCTCAGTCACCGGCCGCGAATCTTTTTACTCTATGCAGCATCATTTGCATTTGTTTTAGACTATTTCACTGTGGGAAGGAGGGTGTCACCCGCTCCAGTTTACAAATAAAAACGGGCTGAAGACGGCAGTCCCCGTTCCGGACAGAAGAAGAAGCAGCAACTTCTTAGGGGATCTCTGAAAAGTGCTGATCTGCATAGAGCGCGAAGGCGACGCGATGTTTAAGTGGCAGCCAGCGCGCTTCTGATTCGTCCGCAGAAAAGTTGCCGCTCCGACCGGCCTTAATCACAATTGCAGTGGCTCCTCGCTGCTTTTGACTCACCCCTGCCTCTTTTCTTATTTCCCCTGGCTCTTCTTTCGACTTGCCTGGTTGCTTGTCCTCTGTGCGCGTGTCCGAACATCTTTTGCTACTGTTTCTGTTGTCTGGCGTGTTTCACCCCCTAGTGACTGCTGCAGGCTCCTCCTGCGATCTGCAAAAGGCAGACCTTCCCTGCAATCGAGGCTCTGCTCCCCAGCGTCCTTGCTGGCGACCGGGAATTCAGCAAAAAGGGAACCTTGGCCGAGAGCAAACCACACCAGGCGAGAAACGTCTCCTCCGCCTCTTCTGCCTGTACCTGCAGCTTCGGGTTATTGAGGTTGATGCGGGTCCGTCCAGCGCTGTGACTGATTTCAAATAAGGTAGGAAATGGCGCTTTTTTTTTTTTTTTCTGTCTCTTTCCCCCCCGAAAGACATTTTCTACCACTAAGCAACGTCTTTCGTCTCAGGACGATCCGCTGGTGACTTCAGAAACTCTCAGAGCTTCACTTAAAAACAAACAAACACACAAGCCTCCTGGTTTAAAACTTTTAAGGCTATTCCTGGTGCCAGCAGAATGGATCGAACCAAGATGATAGTTAAAGAGGCTTCTGAGGTACGTTTGCAGGCTCTCTGAAGAACTGGGTCCGGCTTCAGTGGGCAGCAATAGGTCAGATCCAAAATATTAGGCTGTCCCGAGCAGTGTTTTAGGTAGAAGAGTTCTTTTTTAAAACCAATGGTCAAGCGAAAGCCTTAAGCTTTTGAATTAATATTTGCAACTTTTTAATAGTTCACAAGCTAAATTACTTCGATGTAACTTTTTTTTTTAAAAAAAAAAATAGGCTTTCTCCTCGGACATTTTTTGCACCAATCTGTTTATAGATTTTATTAAGGAATCTTGACTTTTCTCTTTAAAATGATAAATGGCTTTATTTTTTTAAAACAACAACAACAGCCCAACCTTGACTTCTTTTGGACATTTTGACATGCATATGACCTGAAAATGACACTTTCTCTAAAATATAGGATCTTGAAATCAACTACTTTTATGCTGATTTCCCTTTTCTGCATTCCTGTTTTTCCTTCAGTTATTAATCCATTTACTGTTTTGTTAATGGAGCCTTAATTATTGCAATCAATGAAAGATAACATCACATCATTCATAAAACTGGAGTCCTAAAGAAAGGAGTATTGAATGAGTAATACAGATCAACAATGTATAAAATCTAATAAAGACCTTCATAATAAAGCTTCAAGGTTTGGCAATACCTGCTTCTCAGTTATCTAAACCATCTGAAGATATATTTATGTTGAATTAAAACTTAACATGAGATACTTAACACCCTATCATATCATTCCTGAAAGGTTGGTTTTGTTTTTTATCCAGATATATACATTTTCTAACAGAAACATATGAGAAAATACGTAGTTAAAGTTATTTGTCACCTTTATCTCTTTTGAGGTTAAGTAGAGGTTTCTTTCTTATAAAGTAAAGACTGGATAGAACTTTACATTAAGGAACAAACCAAAACTGTAAGATGGATGCCAATTATTTAAGATCCTTCCCATTTTCCTGGGAGCAACTCTTAACTATTGTACAAATATATTGAGAGCATTTTCAAATACCCATAAGGAAGAAGAATGTCAGTAAACATACCTAAAAGTAGGGTAATTCAGGTTTTAACTACAGGTTTGTACAAAGTTGAACAGTATTCTTGAAATTCACTAAACTTGGCAAACTGTCGTATAAAATTTTAAAATATAAAAAGACAATGATTTGCATTCCACCTGAAATTTTCATCTTTCAGTTGATCTTTCAGTGATCTTTCAGTTCCAACTCTTAGATATTCTTGTGTAACAAGTTCATATAAAAGATATAGGAACTGACTTCACATATTGCTTGTGGTAGGGTAAAGTGTTGACATTTTACATGCCATCACCATATCAGGTTATGGTCTTTTGATTTTCACTAGCGGTCAGCGGAACAAAAGAACTAATCCCCCAAACAAGAAGGCTTCGGTATTTCCTACTAACTACATTTTTTGTTCTTAGAAAGTGTTTTTTTATTCAGAATTTCTTTTCCAGTGAACCTTTTAACAAATGTAAAACTGTGTACTTTCAGTTAGACTTAAAAATTAAACAGTGGTTTCTATTTACTGATTTTTTTTATTAATCAGCTCAGATGTATGCATGCAGAAAGTTTTATTATGCTATGTCAACATAATCAGGTGGATTTTTTTTCAGACTTGTAACATTTTATCGAGAAAAAAAATATATTGAAATTTTCCAATAAGAATGGAGCAGGAGAAGCTGCTTGATTTGAGTTTTGCTGTTCTGGGAAAAGATGGGGAGAGATATTTCTGCTTATTTGTTAACTCATCCTTTGTCTTGAAGATAATTCAGAGTTGAATCTGAGACCACTCATACTGTATGTACTAATAGGGTTGCTTGGAATTTTTCATTTTTTGACATCTTTGGTGAAAACCCAAGACTTATATTTTCCAGTACAAATACTTTCAAAATGTGATTGTGGCATCATTTTATTATTAGATCACTAGAGAACAAAACCTGCAATAATTTCTATTCCAATGAAGTCATATTTAAAAATATGGTTTAATTAATTATTTTTACAATCTATTTCTTTCCCACTACACATGTTTGTTTATACATGAGCAGTTCCAATTTTCTTTATATGCAAACTTAGAAATAAATAATCTACTAAAGCTGACAGTAAGAATAAGACAGGTATGATGAAAAAAGTGTAATTGATGGTTAATAACTTTGAATCTGATAATTGTGATTTTTCAGTTAATTATGGCAAAGCATAGAATGTGGAAATCTGATAATTGTGATTTTTCAGTGAATTATGTCAAAGCATAGAACTTGGAGTCGGGGAAAAGTTTAATTCTAATTTCACCAAATACAGAAATTATCTATACTGGGTGAACTGCTTCAAATCCCCTATATAAGTTGTGATCCTTGACTTTAGTATATGTTTCTCGAGGGTGACTTCAGTATGATCTGCCTTATAGTGTCAGACGAAATGCTACTTTCTATTAAGCTATTTATTAATGAATACTATTTACTATTATTACTATTTACTATTAAGCTATTTAGATGAAAAGATGTTCAGGACACAGCAACTACCACAAGAATTAACAGGAGGGTTAACTGTTTTGCTTCTTCAATACTTCTTTGGCAGTATTATTAAGTTTATTGTTATGCAATCAAATTACTGTATTATTTATTTAACTTAAATTTATTTATGAATGTATTTTTGTGTTATGTTTCTGACTTGTAATTGGTCACAGGATTTTTAGGATAGTGGACGAGCTGTAATATTTTAAATAAATAGTCTAGTTGTTAAAATGGCTTTATTATGAAGGAAATCCTGAAAGCCCTATTGGTACATAATACCACAAAAACATGTCAGTTATTGACTGAGCTGAAGACTGCATATAAACTGCATATAAAAAAAGTTGGGAATGGCAGATGAACTCTACTAAGATTATAACTTAGATAGATTTCTGCCCAATTTTCTTCTAGTGGGGAGAATACATTGGAAATAGCTGTGCACTGAATCAAACTTTTATTAGCCTATTGGATTTAGTATTCTCTACATAAACTGGCAATAGCACTCCAGAATGTCAACCCAAGATTTTTCCCAGCCCTATCTGAGGATGCTAGGGCTAAATCTGGGAACATCTGAATGTAGAGCAGATGCTGTGACTCTTATTTCCTTCTTTGTTATGTCCCAGCTTTTCACTAGATACTCAGTCTCCATCTATCCTTCTTCTAGCTCCCATCACTATGCCTCATGAAGACAAGTCAATTGAAAGGCATCTCCTGTTAGGAAAGGCATGCTTGACTGATTGGCATTCTTTCCAGCATTTACAAAATCAACTACCTACCCTCCAGTTAATTCATACGTATTACTTAAGTATAATTCTATGCACTTGTGACTTATTGAGCCAAGTGGAGTTATATATTTAAGAATAGTATTCTTGAATTTGGCTACAGAGCCAGTCCAAGATACTCTGCCACTGAAGGTAAGATTATGACCGTTCAGTGCCATGTACAGAATGGAATTGGATCAGTAGCTGAATTTCAATGCTGGAGATGTGTCAGTATCTTCCATTGTAGGTAAAGGCAATATCCTAGTTTAGAGAGTGTATGATGACAGAGTTCCCAGCTTAATTTGCATGAAAGGAGAAAGGCTCAACATGTACAGAGTAAGACTATTGGCTGAGGAACTTGCTTCCTTCTGTGTACTTGTTGGAGGGCCAGCTTTGTATGCTCTGATAGTAGCAGTGCTTTTCAACAAATAGTGCAACTTTGATGAATTAAAGAGTTTGGAAAAGGAATTAAAACATACTGAGAATAAGCGGAATATGTTGACTATAGATGGAGGAGAAAAGAATAAACTGGAGACTTTGATAGAATCCATTACCTAAGTTATCAGTTAAAAATGCTTTAACTAAGTGGATTAAAGCATTAAATCATATAAAATAAAGCACTATGTAAAATCAAGATGGAAGCTCCAACACAAAAATGTGCCTAAGACCAAGAATTTTTAAAAAGCCAACTGCAATGAAACCATAGCTGTCCATTTGCTTTTATTAAAAGAGAAAGTAAATCTGATAATTTTATTCAAAAATAAAAACCACTTTTGATACAACTATGACCTGGATGCCAGAATCTTCATAGATATTTAAATCTGAGAACGTTAAATAAAAGAATTCGGTATCTTTTCCAATTTCTATTAATTCAAAAACACCTTATTTGTTTGTTTGTTTATTTGTCAAGTTTATATAGCCATCCAGCTCATCAACAAATGACTTTGGATTGCATACAACAAGACAAAATTATCTTGAATTTGGCCAGAGAACTAGTCCAACTATTAACTATTATTAAGTATTTTAAGGCAATAATGTTGTCATTTTCTGAATCCTATAAGAAATTGAGAATCTGCTTGGACTAAGTGTTAAGAAACTGGGAGACTATGAGTTCTAATCCCACATTAGACACAAAGCCAGTAAGATAATCTTGGGCCAGTCCCTCTCTCTCAGCTGCAGGAAGCAGGCAATGGCAACCACTTCTGAAAACCTTGAGAAGAAAACTGCAAGGACCTGTCTAGGCAGTTCCCAGAAGTCAGTATTGACTTGAAGGGTAAAATGTATTTATTTATATAAATTTTAATCTAAATGCTATAACGTTTAAACTATTGAGTTGCCTTTTAATTATCTGAATCTGAGAGAAACATTACAAATATATTATAACAGCTGAAAGCACCATGATCAGAAGAGTTTCAAGGGCTTGTGAATATTATTTGTTTGTTTGTTTGTTTGTTTATTTGCTGCCCATCTCAAAATGAACTAATTCTGGGCATCCTCCAGCATTAAAATATTAAAATCCTTACAAATAAATATCTCTAAAACAGTAAAAATAAAAAACTTGAATAGAATTGTCCCCTCCCTAACATCTCCTTGCAATAAACCAGAGGTTCAGTTAAATGAAAAGTGATCAACTGACATAGCTTCTTCTCCTGAGCTCCTCCCCATTTCCTTGCCACAACCGAGTTGTATTGTCAGTACATAATTTAGACAAGAACAGTCTTATCCTGTGTGTTCTGTTAATATGTCGAAGTTTACCTCAGGCAGCACAATCTCTTGGCCATGCAGAAGAACTTTGCTGCCTTATGAAATGTAACTGTGTGGCATTTTTTTTAAAAAAATATTTCTAATTAATAATTTAAATCAGCTGTGGTTCTCTAGATGTTGACCAATTGTAAATCCAAGCATTGTTACTTCCTCAGAGGTTGGTGACTGGAACTGAACAGTAGTTTTAGAAACCATGAGTTCTCCAATTCTTCAGGTTTTGAAAATGATTAATCAGCTTCCATAGTTTAATTGTGCCCGTGTGTGTATATATATTTGCATTATATAGATACTATAACTTGTGTTATATAGATACTGTACATACTCTTACATATGTATATATGTATATGTTAGATTTTTGGTAAAAATCTATGGTGTTTGATACAGAATTTAGAGTAGCATGTTTGGACTTTGTCATATCTTTTTTCTCATGCTTTACCTGTTAGATTTCTCTAATATACAACTGCTGTTTAATGTTTTCCTGACTAAATGCCTGGGCTCAATAGCATAGTAAATCCAGTAATCTGAAACTAGAATTTGGCTCTTGCTGGGCATACTTGCTCTTCTGCTATCCATAATACCACAAATCAGATTTGCTTTTAAATTTATATTATAAATCAACCTTGCTTTCAACTGAGATATGATGAGGATCTTCACTAATTAACCTTACAATTAATAACAATGAATAAAATATATGAAGATTAGTACTATTGGAATAAAATGAAGAGATTAAAAAAAGTCGTATAAAGTTACAAGTTGAAATATATTTTGATATCTGATGATTTCTTTCTTGAACCCTGGATATATTGCTGTTAAAATTGGATTGGTAAATGGGTAACTGATATGGTTTTGCAAATACTTTTTCCAGATGTGTGACTTCAACATGGTTTCCTCAAACTCATATATAAATTCTCTATTTTAAAAGACTTTATTGAGGTTTGCAAATCTCACCTACATTTAGCTGAACCAAATGTCTCCAGATTCACCTTTAAGTTGAAGGCTGCCATTGAATATCTTCCTTTCCCCCCCACAAAATTGTGTTTGCTTACCAGTGAGTTCGGTAATCACAACATGGATATCTTGGAATTCATTCTACATGATATATATGTGCAATTTTCATGTAATGAAGTGGTTGATTAATATTCATGGAGTTGAGTGATTGATTAATAAAAGTTTGTACCACTTGCCTGTGTGAATTTATCTGCCGTTGGCCCCCCCCCCCAAAAAAATTGGATATGAGATTTTTACCATTAGTGGCAGGCAAAAAAGGGGCAAGAGCTGCTGCAATCATTTCTATATCATTTATTATTTATTAAGCACATTTCTACCGCACCACAGTCAAAATGATTGTTGGCAGTTTACACAGAATACAAATAGGACAATTTAAAACATCGATGGTCAATTTAAAACTATTCAGAAACTTTCCCTCTGGCACACAAGAGGTAGAACTGCTTTATATGCTGTATATATATTTTCTGATCACTGATAAGGTTATTTTTATACAACTTACAGTGTTTGCAAAGTTTTATTACTTAAAGTAGCATCAAGGCTTTGGAGGGGATCCTGCCAAAAGGATTTCAGATGGATTGTTGTGGATGCTTATTTTTGTTTTTTGTTTTGCTTATCATGAGGGATAACTTCTCCTGTCCCAAAACTGTATGCCCGACAGCAGAAAAATTTAAATAGGCAGATTGTGCAAATGTTGATTTTGACTCTTTTCCTCCCCTTCCTTCTTTTTATCTCTGTTTTATTTGCTGGTTAAAGGCCACAAAAATTGATCTACATTGGAAACTGAACAAATTACTGCAATAATAAGAGCAATCAGCCAAAGAGAACACTAAAAAGCGATACAAATGAAAGATGGCATCATAATACATAAGCTAGAGGAAAGCTCCCTGAATTGTTCCATTAGCAACAATTTCCATTAGCAGCAATTTCCAAAATATGGATTATTAGTAGAAACACTCAAGTTATACCTGACTTATCACATTGCAGTCCATGACTGGGTCTTCATACATCACTAAACTATAATGTTCTTAATGAAGATATATTGGAAAAGTCACAGTTGGCTATGTTCAACTAAGACGTTTAGTCAGAAATCATAATTCACACAGTTAATCACAGCATGTCTTAATATGATGCATGAAATAGTGATTTGTGAATACAATTTGTGGTTTAGCAGATGGTGTGAAGCAAGCGCATGCATACTTTCCTGCATCACCACAGCTCCTTTCTATTAGAGAAGATCATGTCTGCCAACAGAATAATGAAGCTAACTATGGCCAAATGCGACTCGAAGTTCATATAATCTAAGTATTTCATTTGAACATAGCAATACATATATAATTCAGATTACAACATACTTTAGAAGCCAAGAACCAGTATAAAAATATTAGGAGTGCAGAAAGTGGCCATCATCCATCTAATCTTTTGCAGTGATCTGGCAATATCTTCCCAGAATTTGGGGTAGAAGGTTGGTTTTATTTTTATTTTATTTTATACATTTACTACTTAATCCTTTTGAGTACAATCTTCTACAGATGGAAACTAATCAAGGAGAGAAGCAATCTAGAACTAAGGAGAAATTTCCTGATAGTTAGAACAATTAACCAGTGGAACAACCAGCTTCCAGAAGCGGTGAATGCTCCAGCACTGGAAGTTTTTAAGAAGAGACTGGACAGCCATTTGTCTGAATTGATATAGGGTTTCCTGCCTGAGCAGGGGTTTGGACTAGATGATCTCCAACATCCCTTCCAACTTTATTATTATTATTATTATTATTATTATTATTATTATTACTCTAGTGCAGAGCATAAGCAGTCACGCTGCTCTATAGGCCCCCCCCCCTTTTAAAAAATATTCAAATAGTCAAATTTCAGGCATCTAACTTTCTTCCAAGCTCCATTTCTAATATCACATTTAGGGTGTTTAATGCTTTTTCTTCATACTATGACCTACCAAAGGTTTTTTGTTGGTGTGTAGGTGGTAAAGAAGGTGCCATTCAAAGTAACGGGGCTACACTATAATACTAGTAGAATAAGGCAATCTTTGTCTCCATGAGTAAATAAAAGGTCCTTTTTATTTAGGAAGACTTATGGATAGAAGGAACTTTTCCCCTCTTGAGCAAACAATTTATCATCTGCAGTCATATGCAAAGCTGAGACCATATTAATTATATTTATACTTAAAGTGCCCTGAAGTTCCAGTATTGCTTCCAAGTGCTGTAATAGACATTTCCACAGCCAAGATAGAAAGGACAATGAATCAAAACGTCATAGTGAAAAGCATTTAACTTGATTATGAAAAAATACCTCATGAAATAGGTACTGGGTATTAAATAAGAAGAAAAGGAAGCAAATATGAAATCTATGTTTCAATTGTGTCTTATTATACTTAGGTTTTGTGCTCTAACTTCAGATATTCCAGGAAAGTATTAGTTTAGTGTACTTTCTTTTCAATATACCGTATTAATTAAGAAAGGTTTTTATCCAGTTCAATTCTACATAGAGCAGGTAAGATTTATTTCAATACTTTTTTTGAAGTTGCACCTGCCAGCTTTATCTCTAATGCTATGAAGATATCCAAATGTCATAAAAAGGAAGAATATTTAGTAACTGAAATTTATCAGGATAGCTGTTTTGTCAGTGGCAGGAGCATGTGAAGGGCAACAGTTAAATGAATATGGTTAATCTAAGAAATATTTTATTGAGTAAAATCTGTGTTCCTTTCTATCTTATTTAACAATGTTTCCTTCATTTATATTATATTGATGATTACCAAGGTTAGTGTCAAATTTGTGATGTTCAAAAGCTTATTTCTGATAGCAGCTATGCTGTTTTTCTTTTCTTTTTTGCATGATCCACAGGAGGGAGAAAATAGCTGTGCTCTTAGTCCGTTCTTCTAAAGAATGATGTGAATACAGAACTTGTAGCCAAGTACAACATGGGCGCTAACACCTCTAGCAAGTCACCAATATATGATGAGAATGAAGATGGTAAGATGAAGATTACTTTGTTTAAAATGCATTGCTAAGTTAAACTGGATGTCAGCCACTATAGTCTGTTGACATACTGTATGAGGATAATGGAATCTATAATCTAATACAAAGATTGGAAAATACTTATTTAGGTGCTGTAATGGAACTATATCTATGACATTCTTTATTACAACGGCCACTGCAATAGTTATGGAGCAAAATGAGGTGTTTTGATTTCATTGGGTTTGCTCTCTTCTGTTTCTTTGTTGTTGTTAATTCCCTGTCTGCGTAGGGTCAACTGAGGATCTGGGACAGATCTGAAAGTGGTAATTTGATTTGCTATCTGATACAGCAAAACTGCAGACAGGAACTGAATCTCCGATGAACTGTTGTAGGATATTGGGACTAAAATTTTCCTATTTTGTATATGAGAATTATTCTATTACTTGTTAATGAATTGTGAATATAATCAATTATAAATTAATACTATGTCTTCAATTTCTGCTTTTGAAATTGTGAAGGCTCCTTTTTTGCATACGTTTTCAGAAACACAATAACGGAATCATGGCTGACAATATATGAAATATGCAATATCACAGTTTAAAAGTTTATTGAGAAAGATCTTGGATGCTGTTTTCTTGGCCTCTCTTATCCCCAGGGATCTTTCCAACAATACTAGTAGTATATGACTGCTTCCTACAGAGCTTCATTATACTAGACAACACACTGTAGGCATCTGACAAAGAGCAGTAGTTGTTATTCTTCCTACAGTGCATGATCCAAAGACATCAAGACATTTCTCCATTCTGGAATAATATTGGGAACATGCAACTGTGAACAGGAATTTTTTATTGGAAATTTTATATAAAAACAGCATCCTGATATTTATTAATCATTCTTATTTATAGTGTACTTATATTCATTATGGTTTATATCCAGATATAGCCTTATTTAGAGGAAATGCATGGAAATAAATTGGATTAAGTACTTCTGATTTCAGTGGATCTACTTGAACTATGATTACATCTGGTTACAACTTAATATTTGCCTATTCCATATCCACTATGAAAAACAGCCTAAAAACAAAACTAATTCTGACCACAAACAACGATTTGCCTTGAGCAAGTTGAGAAGCTATTTGAAAAGGAACTGGTTCTGTTTAACACTCCCCTCCTTATTGGATATAGGAATTAAGTCAAATATGATAAATAGAGATGGTTGAGATCTTCCCAAAGTTCTCAGGGGAAAAATGTCTGAACACATAATTTTCTAAGGTAGTCAAAGAGCATAGGAACTCTTTTTGTCATTCCCATGGAGTTCAGAAAAAATATTCTGCAGGATTGAAATTGAGGAGTGGGACCAAAATCCTTGTAAGGATCATTTATCTTTGAGAGAACTTAAAAATGAGTTATACAGGTTTTCTATCCGTTCCCAAGATGGTTTAATTAAAGTTTGATAATATTAATAATGAGGGTAGATTATAAGCTATTGAATTAATGCCAAATACTGGAACTCTTGACTTGTTTCACTAAGTTTTGTATTCATTTTTAAGCCCGTCATCTAAAAACTGGATATAAACAGATTGGAACGTTGAAGACCATGATGATCATGAATATACAGCTGCAATAACCAAATTAACTCACGGAAAAATACATCTGATTAAAGATGGAGATAGGCAGCAATATATTTAGATACAATCCAGAGCTATCACTGAATAAAGTCAGGATAAGACAGATGCTCCTTTTTGCTCTGGAAACTTCTTCTGTTGACACAATTTTTTTACAGGAAACATTTTCCTATATAAACTATTGATAATAGTTTATTTTGCTTAGAAAAGTATTGATTTTGTATGCGATAGTTACAGAACTCCAACCATTAACTCTAATGTTTAATCCTTCAAATCAGATTATGAACTTTCTGTTTGTGGAATTTTTCCTCCCTTCCCTCCCTTCTCAGGAGTTCTTCATATAACTTTCAAAAAAGAGGCATTTAAAATGTTTCTGTTGAGGAGTTTTAATCTCAGTACAAGTTCTGGCTCTGTAGGATCCTTCTTTCTGCCAACAATGGTGCAATGATAGATCTAACTAATTTTCACGCCTGGACTGCAGCTTTGCCCCTTTTCTCTTTTAAAGAGAGTAATAGCCCGTGAGAGCCCAGTTTACTTGTGAGTGAGCAGGAACATAATTTTGTGGTAGCAGCTCAGGGAATCTGACGGTTGACACATATGAAAGTTATTGTAACAGACCTTGTTACACACCGCTCTCTGTTTCTAAACTTGCCTGTTCTGTTCTTCTCAGTTTATGCTCTGCTGTCATGTGTTTTAATGGTTGCATGTTCTTCATGACTCCTATATCAGGGCTTCTTGGTTCCATAATTTCCTCTTTTGCTACATAATTAGCTGTATTCTTATCCAAATATGGATCAAAAGGCACTCAAGTGTAAGATAGCTCACAACCTAGATTCTTTTCGAATCTCAGGATTTTATTTACAATGGATCTACTCCGGTTTTCATACAGATGTTTCAACCTTGTGTGTTAGTAATTGGACTTGTTCCCAAAATATTATTAACTGGAAACTGGGACTTGGGGGGGGGGATTGTTAGCATGTTATTAGAAAATTAAAATGGCTTTAAGTTTCAAGTCATGTTTAGGTTTTAACCACCTCTATCAAATTAATTGTAGCATGGGAACACTTAATCTAAGTCAATGTATGCACTTTGCATCCTCAGTTCTTCAAGAAAAAGCTAGGTGATTTCATGCCATTACCAGTGCTGAGTTGAGTTTGATAATTAGCTGTAATGGAATTTCTGTGTTGGCAAGGAGTTGATTAGATGACTTCAAAAATTCAATGATTTAAGATGCGAGGGATTTGAGGAAAATTATTCTGGCAGAAATCTGAGGGTTATTACATGTATGATGAATGTCCTTTGTTGACTTGATACAAATATATCGTCAATGCAGTACCACATATAATGAATGGTTTGTCTGTTGAGCAAACTAATGATCAAACCTCCTCACTAGTGATTAAACCCTACTAAACGTTTGGAAGACAAAATACACATATGCAAATGTGCAGGAGTATTTACTATTTTGAAAGTAATGTCTGGCTAAAACCTGCCATACAATCAAGGAATATTAAACCAGTAAAGTCTTACACATCATGGAGTTGCCTATGGGAATGGGATAAAGCTAGTGAATTATTTTAACCTTCCAATATGTGGACTGTTGCATTGCACATCAATCGCCATTTCTGCATCATTTTTTAAATCGGCCTCAATGCATTGCAATAGCTCAACTTTCAGGTGATAAAAGCATACATTTTCATAATTAAGTCCTCTAGGTCCAACAGGACCATAACTGGTGCATGGACTATTTGAACTAAAGTGGAGTGATAACTTGGCCTTTACTTTCCAATGGTCTCTACCTGCTAATCAAACAACAGTAGTGAGTCCAGGAGAATCTTCAAGTTGCAGGCTTGGACTGTCAAAGGAAGAGGGACCATTTGTTCAACCACCTATCCTTCAGCACAATTGGAAATAACCTCTTAAGGAAGGAAGGAAGGAAGGAAGGAAGGAAGGAAGGAAGGAAGGAAGGAAGGAAGGAAGGAAGGAACATTAAATCCACCCCAGGCAGATATGAGTGATCCACAAGAATACCATGGATTGTCATGGTATTAAACACTGCTAAAAGTTCCAGCAAAACCAGAAAGGCTGAACTCAGAACCTGATGTAAGTAACATACAGCCCGTGGCCTGAATTCTGAATAAAAGGGATCCATGATATTGCTTGAATGTCCAATAATATGCATTATGTTCTTTAATTTCGTACATAGTCCTGTTCTGAGTCCTACCAATTGCCACCCCCTGAATCTAGGGCCAATTTTCTTTCGTTTAAGGATCCTTTGATCCTTGTTTCTTCATTTCAGGGGTCTACCTGCTGGCACACGTTCTTTGATGATTAGGTTGTTTGTGTACTTAGTAGATTTATAGTGATGCCCTCTGAATGTCACCATTTCCTTTATTGCAAATCATGGCACTGGACCCTGTAATAAATGCTGAGCAAGTGCATGGACAACAATTACTCCATATTTGGCTAGAATAACTGTTGGCTACATTTCAAAATTAATAATGCTGTTGTTTAGAAAATATATTTTATGTGTGTCTGCATTTACGGTAAGTAATTGAAAAATATAATGGGGCAAAACTCCCTTGAAATTTTCCTGGATGCTAACAAATTATATTCTTATAGATACAATCATTTCACACTGACATCTCCTATAAATAGTCTCTGAGGTGTGTCACCAGTATTTGGATAGTATTATTTCTCAGAGTGGAGGATTTGAGGAGGAAATTCTGTAATTTCTGGTATATTATCTTTGCCTCAGTCATTTGTTAAAGTAAATTGAAATTGGTTGCCACCAATTTGATGCCATGATTTATGGCAGGGGTGTCAAACTGCCGGCCCATAGGCCGGTTGCATCATACAGAGGCCGTGCCCACCCCAGCTCCAGCACTGCAAAAAAAGTTGCGATACGTCACGACACGTCACATGATGTGGCGAGTTTGACACCCATGATTTATGGGAATTACATTCCCAACTTCCTTGGATGGCACTAGGTCGGAAAAACTAATTTAAAAATTTGTTTTGTGCATAAATGCTGAAGAAATAACCACCCCCCCCTGCAATAAATACCAGCTGGATATATTCAAAATAGTTAAAACAACTGAAAGGTGATTGAAAGATCAGATGATTCTCTTGGCAAATAAATATATTTCTTTTAACTTGCTGACTCAATATATGTTAGTAGTTTTTGAAATAATACAACTCTTTTCCCCATCAAAAATGTATAAGAGAATTTATTTATTTTGTTTATATCATGCCTTTATATTTTTTACAAATAACTCAAGGCAGTAAACATATATAATACACTTTCCTCCTCCTATTTCTCTACAATAACAATGCTGCAAATTGGTTGGGCTGAGACAGAGTGACTGGCTCAAGGTTACCCAGCTGGCTTTCA